CCACCTGAAGGAGGGTGTGGAGAAAGCCGGTCAAGCCCCCGGCCACTGGTTCAGCGCCTTCTTTGTTCCAGATGCTGTGTTAGATGCTAGGGTACAGTAGAGGGCCAGACAGACAAGGGCCTCCCTCTCAAGGTGCTCCTAATATCCTGGGACAATGACATGCCAACAGGAACCTGGCACAGTATCAACTCTTGCTAAATGCTCTGATTAGCTTATGAGGGGGAGGGACGGGGAACCAGACTGGAGAGGCTTCTGTGTCAGGGTGCTCCCCAAGGAAGTATTATCATGTGACATGCAGAGATCTGGGGGAGGGCCTTCCGAGGTAGGAATGGCCTTGGCATCTTGAAAAGGTGGCGCAAAGTCCAGTGTGATCAGACATTCAAACACTCATTATTTCAACAAGTATTTATTGAGCACCCCAACCATGTGCCAGAGATTGTTGCAAGCATGTGGGAAGCATTAGTGAACAGAAGAGACTAAAAGCCCTGCGTTCCTGCAACATATAGTCTACCAGGTAGAGGCAGGGAATAAGTCATAAATACAATAAGTGAATTTTACAGCCATGGGAAAGAGAACACAATTTTTTTTCTAATTTTTTTGCTGTTATAGATAATGCTGCAACGGACATCTTCACACAAAAATCTTTTTCCTGTATCTAGGATTTTTGCTAAAGATGGATTTCAAAAAGGAGAACTGCCCCCATTTTAAAGGCTTTTGACACAAAGTATCAAATTGCTTTTCAGCGAGGTTATACCAACTGATTATTCCACTAATATACATAAGGGTGTCTATTTTACCACATCCTCACCAGAGTTGGGTATTATGAGCTCTTTAAAGTGTTAATACATTGGGCGCCTGGGTGGCTCAGTTGGTTAAGCGACAGCCTTCGGCTCAGGTCATGATCCTGGAGTCCCGGGATCGAGTCCCGCATCGGGCTCCCTGCTCGGCAAGGAGGCTGCTTCTCCCTCTGACCCTCTCCCCTCTCATGTACTCTCTCTCTCTCTCATTCTCGCTCTCTCAGATAAATAAAGACATACAATTATGTCTTTATTGGTATCGCTTTGATAACGAAATTGAACACTGAATTTTGGCTTCTTATTATCTGCAGAGAAAGTTATCACTAAGCAGATTAACAAGGTAAACAAGCTACACAAGAGCCCTTCCTAGTTCTACTTCTCTTCTGTGTCTGGCACCCAAAGATGGAGTGATTTATCAAAGTCACAGTTCAGAGGCACCTTTTCAAACTGATTCACGTTACCAACATACTTTAACAAATATCTGTCAAATATAAACCGAAATATATGTAAGTATACTTTTCAAATAATTTAAAGTTCTGTCTGGCAGGATTGCTACTTGGGACATTCTAGCTTCTCTTACATTATGAACTTGAAAATAAGAAACACATGCTCTTCTTGAAACAATTTCATACTTTAGGCTTTTCATTGAAACCCCTATTACTCCCAAATTAGTGGGATTTGTTGTGCTTTTATATAAACCTGTATATTTATGTAAACATCAGAAGCAATCCAGGCTCTCCTTGGCCTGACTTACACACCTTTACGTGTGAGTTACTTCCCTGCTGAGGACCTCCTGCTGAACCACGGCATCCACACACCTCTCCACTCCTGCCTGAGCCCCATCCACACTTCCCGAGGCCGGGAGCTGAAGGGCCCTCCTCCTGCCCAGGCCTGGGAAGGTGCTGAGAAGGGGCAAGATTGCAGAAAGCCGCCCAAGGCGGGGCCCAACACTGGGTTTTCCCCAAAAAGGTAGTGCTACAGTTCTTGTCTGGTTTCTATTTTATTGGGGTGTCTGTGAACATTGTAGGCTATCTTGCAAGCCAGCCATTGCTGTTAACATTGATTCTGTGGGAGAGTGCCTGTCAAGTTTCAAGCGAACACTTGGATCTGAGCCTTTTGTGAGAACTGTGTGTGCTGCAGGGAGCCTGGTGACATTGATTGCTGTTCTTCCAAACCCAGGCCCCCCTCCTCGGTGGTCCCCCTTCCTCTGTCCCACGGATCTCCTGGCATAGCGTCATCCAGGCCATGGGGCGTGGAAATCAGAGTGGACTTGGGAGCGGTGTGATCTGGACTTGAATCCTAGCTTTGCTGATGAATGACTTCAGACTTGAGATCCCAGAGTGGCTGTAAAACCGAAATTCCACATTCGTATGTGTATATGAAACTCACACACTCTCTTTACACTCTGCAAGTGCTGGAGTTTCACAGAGCGTGAGATGCTATTGCTGGCTTCTACCAGTATTTCTAAGATTTGTGTGGAATTTCGTAAGAATTTGTAAATGTGAACATTTCTGCTCCTAAGGGTATTTACGAGTATGCTCAGTGCCTGAAAAAGTTTTGAAATTTTTAAAAAATCAAATTTGAACATGTTTGGAAAAGTATCTCCTTCTCTCCCCAGCTTTTCTCTAGGGAGAACAGAGAGAGCTGGTGCCTTGTTAGGGCAGCCCCAGGACCATGCAGGAAGACAGTGGGGGAGAACTCCCCTCCCTCACTTTTGAGGAGAAATAGGATTGCAGTGTCTATGGCCAGCACACTCTGCATGAGGGCCCTGAACTCCCCCTGTGCGCCTCATCTCAGACCAAACCACCAGCTCAAACCCAGGTTTAAAACATTGTCTGAAGGGGCGCCTGGGTGGCTCAGTTGGTTAAGCGTCTGCCTTCGGCTCAGGTCATGATCCCAGATGCCTGGGATCGAGCCCCGCATCGGGCTCCCTGCTCAGCGGGAAGCCTGCTTCTCCCTCTGCCCCTCCCCCTGCTCATGCTCTCTCTCACTCTTCCACACACCCTCTCTCTCTCCCTCTCTCTCATAAATAAATAAAATCTTTAAATAAACAGAAACAAAGAAAAACATTGTCTGGAGACAGCACAAGACCTGGAGTCCAACTGCCTGCATTCCATTTCCACCGAAACACACTTATTGTGTGACCTTAGGCAAGTTGCTTAGCCTTTCTGATGCCCCAGTTTTCCCACCTGTAAAATGGGAATAATGTTAGTGCCCACTACAGAGTGTTATGGGGATTACACGAACAATTGTGCACATGGAGGGCTTTGTACTCCAGGTAAATAATGAGCACTTGGTAAATGCTGGGTGCTGTTATCTGATCATTCGTTCACATTTCCTCAAAAGTTAGGGGACATATTTAAATGTTATCTATTCTGGTGCTCCACAACTTCACAGAAAGAAATGTAGAAACTTTGGATGACATAAAAACTAGCAATGAAATCAATTAAATGTTCAGAATATAGCCTGCTGAGATGGCTAAACGATTTCAGTTTTTTATTTTATATAGAAAACATAGGTGTCAGGGATGGCCTAATTTCTTATTCTTAGAAAGATGGCGAAATTGTGTTAGACAGTTGAGAGTGTAGTCCCTTCTGTCCCGGGAAATAAAATGACAGGTTCAGACCTAAATTTGATCAGTTGGGACATTTTTAAAAAATAAATAGTTGTTAGGCATGGGGAGCTGGAGAAAACTGTGCACATTCATGCCCTGGAGCTTCTCTCCCAGGGTCAAGGGTCATCGCCCTGGCAGGCTTGGGACATGGCTCCTCCCTAATCACCTCCAACAGGGATTCCTTTCCACCGCTCCCCACTCCCAGAACCTGCTCCCAGTCACTTTCAAGTGTTCTCTGAAGGTGTTGCCTTTCCACCTGTTGCTTGGTAATGAGGGAAATGTATTCCAAAGTACTCCTTTCTTCATGTTCCCCTTGGCTGCAAAGGAAGGAGGGAGTAGTCTTTGCCCTGCCCCCCGCCCCGTTCCACATATGCATAAATACAGGGAAGTGTGTTTCTTCTTCATGGAAAGGAAGTCTTGGTGGTGAGGGAGGGGCTCCGAGGGGCTTCGGCTGAATGCAGTGCTGGTGGTGGAAGGCTGGTGCAGAGGAGTGAGTTGGGGCTCAGCCGTTTCCCATATAAAGCAGACTTTCCCCACCACTCTGCCTCTGGCCACCTTGCCCCACCCCAGCCATATCACTGAGCCAGTCCTTGACCTATATCCCATCAGTTGGTCTTCTGGGCCCCCTGAATAGGAACCATCAGTGACATTTGCTCGGCCCACCTGCCCAGTTGTGCAGGTTAAACTCCATGAGGGCAACTGGGCAGGGGAGCATGTTGCAGGGTAAAATCCAGCTAGCTTGCTAAGCTGTGAACCCTGGTGCAGGGCTGTGTCTGCCCGGAGGAAGGGGCATCTTCTTCCAGTTTGCACATAGGACTAGTAATGGCCCTGGTGGTATCAAATCTGACCCCTCCCAAGACACCCCTTCTTCAACCCCCATTCCTCATAACAGCCTCTGTTGCTGCAGAATTCTTTGGAGATCAGCTTCTATGGCCATTACCTCCAGGAGCCTAGGGGAGCTGTAAAGTGCACAGGGAGGATGTGCTGGCCTCATTGATCACCAGTGACAAGGAAGGGAGATGGTTCATTATTTCATTCACTACACTGAGTGCCCTCTGTGGGCAGGCATGGTGCTGGGTGCTGGGGCTATGCGTCTGGCCATAGGCATGGGCCTGCCTGCAAGGGCCCACGATGAGAAAAATGCAGTGCCCCTGGTGAGCACCATCATGGCTGCAGGCACAGGGTGCCCGGGGCCCACAGAGGAGGTGTGCCCAACACACTGGAGGGATGGGAACACTTCCCAAAAGGAGGTGGGCCTGAGCAGGTTCTCGCAGGATGCACAGGAGCTGGCTGGGTACAGTTCCCTGGGATGGTGTCTGTGGTGCCACTGGAACCAGGAATGGGAATTGTGCTGAGCAGAGGTACGTTTTCAGAAGACCCAGGAAGTCTGCAAGATGCCTGACCTGTTACTAGGCCTCAAGGGGGAGGGAAGGTGGGGCTTCTTAAGCTTTGGAAATTTGTCATTAGCAAAAGAGTAAAATGCCAATCATTCTCCTTTTCTTGGTGGTTATATTTCTAGGCCCAGGAAGCTTTCTGGCCTCTTGCTTTGTGATAACTTGCTAAGTTTCTTTTCTGTTTCCCTCTCCTAGATACTTACTGGAACAAGATTTCCCAGGCATGAGGATTGGTCCAGAGCCTACCACCGATTCCTTCATTGCTGTGATGTACGGGGAGACTGAGGGCAGCACCCCAGGGAACGCTTTAGTCGTGGACCCCAAAAAGCCATTTCGAAAGCTTAGTCGCTTTGGAAATGCATTCCTGAATCGGTAAGGACCAGCAGCCCGCCATCTTTGGTCAGGTTGTTTAAACCTTTTCTTTGAATTCTTGCCAATTACGTATAAAGTTTCCATAACAGGATGGAGCATGTCTATTCTAGAAGAGAGAAGATATAGAGAATATGCTTCTGTATTCAAGTATTTGCAAAGATTATCATAGAAAATGATCATTTATTGCCTATTCTGGGTGGCTTCAGAGGACAGAGCTAAGGCCCCGGGATTGGACGTTCTAAGGGCACACAGTACAAAGAATAAATTTCTAATATTTCAGCTGCACAGAAATGGATTAAGTTGCCTTGTCAGGAAGCAAGCTCCCCGTCACTGACAATGTTAAGTGATGGCTGGATGGCCGCTGCTCAAGCATGGTGTGCTGGGGACTCCTGTACTGAGAACTTAGCCCAGAGGACCCCTGGGGTTCGCCTGACCCCCAGACTCAGCCTGTTGATTATGCCAGGACAGGTCACCTCACCTGCCCGGCTCGCTGCCTCTGACGCTTCTCACTCCCACGTTCTGAGCCTCTCCCTTATTCGTTAAGGCGGGGCAGGGGAAGTAGAGGCAAAACAATACAAAAAGTTAAATTTGTGACTTGGTCATTCTATGACAGAAGTGAAGTTGGGGGATGGCTGAGGGTCTGTCTTAGCTGGAGCTCTGTTTCGTTTATACCGCCCTGTACCCTCTCCCCCGGGCGCCCAGTGAGACGGGGGTGTGGATGCAGGGCACCTGCCCTCTTGGACTGACCTGCCATCGCCTCCCTCTCCTTCCTCCTTTTTGCTACTCCTAGCTTTTTTTTTTTTTTTTTTAAACCTTTTCCTCTTTCTTCTCTCCTGCCCTACCCCTCGCCCCTCCATTCCCCTCTTTTATGAGTCTCCTGCCTTAGACCAGTTACTCTGGGGGTGTGGACTGTGGGGGTGCAAAGCCAGAGAGGGGTCATCCAAACAAAGGAACTTTTTAAATGGTTTAAAAAATAGAAATGGATCCTCCCAGCCATCTGCTGTCCTCCCAGAGGCTGAGATGTCTCATCGCACAACTCCGGGGGGCGCCATTCACAAGGACGAGGGGAAGAATGATTGTGTCCAGGCGCTGTGCGGTGGCTCTGCCGAGGGCATCCCAGGCAACCTCCAGAGATGCCTCTGAGAGAAACCAGACTCGAAGGGCTTTTTTATGCTCTTATCATAAATCGAAGGAGGCATCCAAATGGCAGCCGGGGAATATGGCAGTAGGATGAACAGAAATGCAGAGATGATGTAGATGGAGTCACAGAGAAATCCCATCTCGCTGCTGACAGTGATTTGCAGACTACTGTCCAGATGATTTTTTTCCACCTGCAGGATGCTCTCTGGGAGGAGTTTCCTCCCCATCTCCAGAGCGGCCTTGGTTGGCACCGGAGCCTCTCCTGTGGGAGAAGTAGGGGTAGAGCCCAGGTGGGAGAACATCAGAGGGTCTCCTGAGACAATTGAGGGGAAGTGGGACAAAAAGCTCCCCCATCAGGGCCTCCGGGGAGCCCTGGTCATGGAGCAGGCAATAGCCAGTCTTCCTGTCCCAAGATGGGCCCTGGCAGGTTCCAGAGGCCTGGAAAGTGCAGGACACAAGGTCCTTCTCCATGAGAGACTGGCCTGGAATCCCGTGGTTTCATTACCACTGCCTTGAGTCTTACTCTCTTTTTGCCGGACAAAGGCTTAAAAAAGAAATAAGCTGCCACTTTTTTCAAATGCCTATCTTGTGAAGTCCACATTCACAAGGGGAAACCCTGGAAGAATGGCTGTCGGCTTGTTTTCTTTTGGCAGATGATTTATTTCCCTGACAAACCTTTTTTCAAATGCCAAAGATACAGCAGATGAGTATGGAAAAGAAGCATTTAAGAAAATTTCGAGGGGCGCCTGGGTGGCTCAGTTGTTAAGCGTCTGCCTTCGGCTCAGGTCATGGTCCCAGGGTCCTGGGATCAAGTCCCGCATCGGGCTCCCTGCTCAGTGGGAAGCCTGCTTGTGTTCTCTCTCTCTCGCACTGTGTCTCGCTCTGTCAAATAAATAAATAAAATCTTAAAAAAAAAAAAAAGAAAGAAAATTTCGAATGGCGAGTCTCATTATCTGGGATCTAAAACTTGCTGAAAATAACCCATGCATTATATAATCAAGCATTAATTAAATTGAGAATACATAGAAAAATATTAGCAAATAGTAATATGGCATTTACTGTGTGTGAGATAGAGTTCTAGACTTTACTTGTGTCTTAGCTCTAAATCCTCAGCAAACCCCTGTGACCGAGGTGCTGCTCTTGCCCCCAAGGTAGACAGGAGGAGTTGATGCATAGAAGTTCATTTAACTTCCACAGGGTCACTCAGCTGGTGAGTGGCGGCTCAAACTGGAACTCAGGCCATGTGGCCCACAGTCCCTACTGGCGACCACTGGACCGCGGGAGGCCTTGACACTTGGACTGAGAAACACTGCCTACTGCCCTCTATCGAATTTTGAAGGCTGTCCTTAATGTAGCCCACGAACAACGATGATAAAGGTGATGATTTTTGTCCCCAACTATCGATTAATAATTTCATACACACTCCTTTTTCTGGGTTAATAAGACAGCGCTACAATGGCCACTTGACAGGTGAGAAAACTAAGAGCAAAGAAGTGAAATGATTTACCCAAGAGAAGGGAGAGCCAGTACTAGAATTCAGTTTCCTCTTCCCTTCTGTCTACCACCCTGCACCTCATGGAGCTCTGGCAGAGAAGAGCTTCTGTTCTAGCCGTGCCGGTGGCCATGCACGTGTGAGGCTCACATGCAGGGGACGTGCCTCATCGCACCTAAGAGTAAACAGCACGACTAAGTCATACCCACCCAACACCACTGTTGTTTCTCCCAGTGCTTACACAAGAAAAAAGTCAATTAGTGTAGGGCGCTCAAACATGTGTATGTGATTATGGTGTCCCTATGGGAGCGCCAGCGGGGCTAACTCTAAAGGCAGGCAAACCCCTCTTTACATTCTGGGAACCAGGTCCAAATACAGTACTTAATAGGAATGGGACCTGGTTGTCTGCAGGGGAGGACTTTCTCCCCCCACCCACCGAGCAACCACCAGTCACCCCTGGGGTAGGTCTCATTACCCTGGCCCTCTCATTACAGGGCATTGGCCTGAGGCTCTGCCCCCAGGGGCATTTTTCAAAGAGGTTAGTACTTCACAAGGTGGTACCAGGTGACACCTGGAGGGTGTCAGCCTCGAAGCATTAGGCAAACCGTGCAGCCTGAGTTTCAACGTGGAAGGATGGTTTCTAAGAAAGTAACAGAGGGTCTAGGAAGCAGTTCTGAGAAAAGAAGACAAATTCCCAAAAAGCCAGCTTCAAATTATAGAAATTCCGCACTTGAACAATCAAAGGAGTTGAGTGTAGAACAAAAAGTTCTATGGAAACAACGTTAATGCGGCATTCCAGAACTCCACCATGCTACCTTGCTTTTGAGAGGAATTCCACAGTCGGGCCTGTCTCGGAGCTGCTCTGTGGGAATGTGGTCACCGAACGTCCACAGTCTGTTACCAGGAGGCAGTTCCAGCTCACGCAGGCGGGGATGGATAGCCAGCAGCCCCCCCCCGAAGACACAAGGCCTGGGAGGCTCTGCGTATCTTGGTCAGTTCCAGAAGTGTCAGGACTGGCTCTGACATTTCCCCTCAGCAATCTGCTTTTTGAACTGGATGTTATGTTTCTCCCTCAGTCTGCTTTTCTAAACATGGTAGTCTTTTTTTTTTTTTTTATCCAGATAGCTGCAGGCATTGTTTAGTTTAAGATCTAGTTTAATTTTAAATCGTGGTCGTCCACAGAAGAAATTCTTAATCTCATCTCCTCATTGCCTCCGTTTCCTTTTGAAAAATAACTTGAACCAGTGGCCCTAGGGATTGAAATTTTGAAACTTTCTTTCAAGCTGAAGGAATCTGAATGGTACTTCCAGCGCACCTCTCCTTTTAGCCAGGCATGATGACAGCGATGATAAAATACAAACCCACTGTCTCATGTTGGTGTGAAGATTTAGCAATAATAGAATACATATATGTATTTTTGGACTTAACTCTGCCACCTCTCTGTAATTAAATGAAGCCTTAGTAATAGTAATGGGCTTTTTTTTATATGAATATTACAGTCACTTAGGACCATTGGGATTTTTTTTTTTAACTGGCTTCCTACAAGCATACAGCATCAGTGCAGACACGTGCGAGCTCCGTCAGCTAATTTAGATGCAGAGATTAAGGAAAAGATGCTTTTGCCAAGAATCACCAGCAAATTTGTTACTTTCTTTTTAATCTGGGTAATGAACTGGTCCTGTTCATTTATTTGTTCATTTTGTGGTGGGTTTATCCGTAATAACCCCCCTGAAGCTCTTCCCATTAATCTTTAAGCGCAGGATTTGTGGTGGCTGCCAGGTCATTAACCATTGTTCTTCACTGGCAGCTGCCTCCACGGTCCAGGTCCTGATAGTCTAGAAAACCAGCTTTACCCGCTGCACTCAGGCAAAACTTCCCAGCACCGGGGCCTTGCTGTTCCCCGCTGTGGCTGTCAGGAACGAGAGGCTTTGGTTTAGAAAAGTACATATTTGGGTTGCACCACATGAAATTGCCCGTGTTCAGCCAGCCTTGACTTGTAACAGTGGTGATGCTATAAGATTCGATCTATGGGGGGGGTAGCTGTGGGCTTCTTGTAGTCTGGATGTGAAATTAAACTCCCCCTGGGCAGGGAAGGTTTGATCAGCCATTTGTGGCAGGACCATGTAATGATAATGATTGTGGGTTGGTTGTCAAAGTCTTTTTGTGTATTGTATGCTCTTTACTGTGCCATCTTAGGAAGTCATGTCCTCTCTCTGGTCTCTCTTTAATTAGTCTATGAGCTGGGGTTGAAGGAGATGCTTTGAAGCTGCACCCTACTCTGTCCGTTGTAAGCATCCGATCTGATCTGAACCTGATGACAAGGTGGGAGTTCTCGGGCTGGTAGAATTGCTCAGATCCCTAGAACTCACAGTGTGAGTGAGCAAGGTCTTCTGGCTCCTGGCACCTCTGCGCTCCAGCAGTGGGCTGAGAGCACGTCACAGGGGAGCCTCCAAGTGCAGAATTCCGGGGCTGTGGCACATCACTCCCTTGTTGGGGGATGTTGCCCTCTGTGATGAGGTACATAGTAGTGGTTCAGATGCACAAAATGGTGGTAGCAGCCTAGTAGTCGAAAACCCGGGCCCGAGTCCAAACTGCTGGGTTAGCATCCCAGCTCCATCACTTACCAGCCGTGTGACTTGGCAAGTTGTGATATGTGCCCCTCTGTGCCCCAGTCTCCTCCCGTGTAAATGGCAGCACATAGCCCCTACCTCTCAGGTTGTGGCGAGGATTGAGTGAGTTAAAATGTATACAGAAAGTGTTTAAAGCAGTGTTTAGACACATAGTAGGTGGACAGTAAATGTGCCATTTTATTATCACTGTACCTGCTGGAGATCCCTACATTGTTTGGAAATCAAAAGCAGCATGAAGGTATTCTAAAATGTTGATCATCAAATTGGAATGTTAGCATTTAGAGGCAATTTTAAAATCCCTGCTCCTCTCACCTCCCAGTTTTATTATGCAGCAGGACCTTACAGCCCAGACTATTCCTTGATCCAACCCCCTTTCTGCTCCCCCTGAGCCGCCTTTGGGTGTGGGAGTGGCAGAGAATGAGGGTCACGCGCAGAGTTGGTGCCCATCCTCCTCTCCTTTTATCAGAGAACAAGGTGCATCAGGGCAGCCCTGGGTGAGGCAACACTGCCTAACAGCTTCTGTGAGGCTCCTGGGCTTAACCGGCCACAGGTCTGCGTATTTCATGGGAAATGTAGAAGGCAAGGGCACAAATGCACTTATGTTCGTCACTCTGGGAAGGAGGAGGAAATCCATCTTGGGACAGCAAATCTGTGCTTGGAAACATTTCAGCACACAAGCATAAGCCAGAAAAGCCTGACCTAGGGCTGACTCTAATATACCCAATCAATAACCTTGCCTTTCACCTTCCTTTCTTAGAGCATAAAAGTAAGACAGGATTGCTGTAACAGCATTGCATTAGGATTTTTTCTGATTACAATACAATTATTTAAGAAAATGTATGTGTGGTTCTAACTCCTCGTGTATGAGGCCTGCCCCCACACAAGGGTCTGAAAGCTGACTTGTGCTCTGTGTTCCTTGCCACACCACCCCTCCCCCCCTCCCCCCCTCCCTGATCCCCACCCCCCACCCCCCACCCCCTACCTCACAGACTTTCTTGCTTTCTTTCCTGGAGTGTAGCCTGGTTTTGCACACACAACCCAACCACCCCCTCTCAGGGTGCCCCTGGAGAGCTCCCTCCTCCTCTCCCCACCATCTTCCCGCACCCCTGCCCCCTCCCCTTCATCCCTCCCCTTCTGTCTCCTCCCTTTTTCTGCAGTTATCCCCGAGGGCCCCTCAGCCTGCCCCCTTGTTTATTGTGTGGTAACGTCACCGTCGCCACATTCACCGTATCTGATGGCATCTTGTTTCGGGGCTCACAGATTTTGCCTGATTTCGCCTCTGCCGTTATGTCAGGAGGCATGGGAGTTGCTGAAAGTTTGTCACTTTGCAGAGAGAGAGTGGACAGTTTATACGTTTTGGATGCCTCTATTAACTCCACACTCAAATCCAGGGGTTTTGTGTTTTGGAAAAATTGATATTGAGTGTGAGTTTGTGGTTTTGGAGAAAGGTCAGTCTCTCACAGGAATACTTTGTATAAAATAGTTTCACATATGTGCAATTTTTCAGCATTGTCAAATGTCTCAAGCCATCTAATAAAAAGGATGAGATTATGATAAGAGACTGAATCATTACTGACAAGAAATGTGGTCTACCACAGATGTGCTCAGAACTCTGGTCCTACCTGTTCTAGAGTATCAAATGTGGCGGTTTTTTCTCCGTGAACTTACAAAGAATGAATGCTTAGTGATCTCTGTGCACTTCCTTCTCACACATCTGCTCTCCCCATGTTGGGCAGTGGGGTTTATTGAAAGGTCTGGAGGGTGCGTGAGGGGTGGGAGAAAATCAGAAATGAGGGGTTCTCTTAAATTAACCTGACCCTTTATTTTTAACATTCTGAGGTTTTTAACTTTATGGGTTGAGTTCAACTCAGCTGACATCAGAAATATTAGGTTGCCGTCTCCAGCCGGCCATGCATTCACGGTGTGACCTCAAGATGTCATAACGATTTGGGGCTTCAACTTTTCCAGCTGCAAAATGATCATAATATCTTTTCCTACACCTCCCCGGGCTGACCTAAAAATACAGGAAAGAATGTGTGGGAAACTTGACCCGAGCACCTTCAAAGAAAGCTATTTTGAAATGTCAGTAATTGCACCTCTTGCTCAGGACTGCCCACCGCCAGCCCTGGGGCCGTGACCCCACCCTGGCCCGGGGGCTGTGCCATCCACGTGTGCACTGTGAAGGCTGGTGTGGCCGCCCTGTCCTGCATTCCCAGCATATTTACTTTCCAGTGATCCCACCAGTTCCACTGAATGGAAGAATTGAGCTTTCCCTGAGGGTTTTCCAGACTCTGCCCACACAGATACAAAAGTTAGCCATTTACAATATAGGAGAAGGAGTGGGGCTCTATAGTTTTTGCCTTAAAACAGACACAGCAGGGCACCTGGGCGGCTCAATTGGTTAAGCGTCTGCCTTCAGCTCAGGTCATGATCCCAGGGTCCTGGGATCAAGCCCTGAATCAGGCTCCTTGCTCAGGGGAGAGTCTGCATCTCCCTCTCCCTCTGCCACTCCCCCTGCTTGTATGCGTGTGGGCGCTCTCTCTCTGTCAAATAAATAAATAAAATCTAAAAAAAAAAAGACACAGTGCCTACCAGAGATCCACCTTGGGTGGATCTGCTGCCTGGGTGAAAGTTTCAGTGTTTTCCTCTTCTACTCTAGAGTTACTCTAGAGTAACAGCTAAAAAGGATCTCACCGGTCCCCATCCAAGTGTCTCCATTTACACATAAGGACACAGGCCCAGAGCTGGGAAGCCCTTGTCCAGGGTCCCACAGCAAATTATTGGCAAAGGCTGAGCTGAACCTGAACCCAGTCTGCTGACCTAAAGGCCAAATTTTCCTCCCACGCCACTCTGCTTCCGGGGGGCTGATGCCAGGGCAACTGACTGCCGGGGGATCGCGATAAGAAGGAAGAAATGGTATCAGGCAAGTGAGGGCCAAGGAAGGAGGCTTGAGATGCTAGGCCAGGACTCTCCCCAACCCCTGCCACTTTGTCCACTCTTAGGGTACCCCTTGGACTCCAAGGCACCTGGAGGATTTGGGGTGTTGCCCACAGGTGCTTGCCCCATGCTCGGCCTGAAGCCACATGGGCATTGGACTTCCATGGTCACCCTAGGGAGTGGGCAGTGCGGCTGGGCAGGGATCTTAGGGCACTCCAGCATAGTGGAGCAATGACCCCGAAGGAGACATGGTATGCCCTGGGAGAAGAAGCCCAGGACACTTGGGCAAGTAGCAGCATGGAGAAGGGGCAGGCGAGGCTGATGGGCTTTGGATCAGTCTGACCTGGTTTTAAGGCGCAGCTCTGAGTGATGCTGAGTAAGCTACTTCTCTGATGTTAACGGGAATTTCTTCCTCAAGGGGTTATTCTGAGGGGCAAATGAGATGATGTTTGTAAAATATCTAAGTGTTCCGTAAATATCAGCTAAAATCAAAATTAACGGTTAAGGATCTGGTGGCAGGTAGCAGCAGGTACCTTCCCATACCTGCCCCTTGGTCCAGCGCCTGGTCCCTGTGGCACCAGCAGAAGTCATCCCCTGCAAGTCCCCACTTTAGGGACAATGTCAGTAACCTTGAGAAGCCAAGGAGCTCCTCTGAGCTCGGAGATGTGCAGTTCCTGATCCTACCTTGATCCCTTTTTTCCAGATTCATGTGCTCCCAGCTGCCCAATCAGGTCCTGAAGAGCATCAGCATCATCGACAGTCCCGGCATCCTGTCTGGGGAGAAGCAGCGCATCAGCCGAGGTCAGTGCCCACCCCTGGCCCACCCCTCCTCTGCCGCTGCTGAGGCTCACCGTCATGTCAGCAGAGGATTTCGGTCTCAAGGGGATTCTATCCACCACCCCCAGGATGCCCCCAGCAGCCCTGGACAGCCCAGGGGTCCTTGAGGGGCCCCAAGAAACAACCAGGAGGCATAGATAGCATCAAAGTTTCTGCATTTCAACTGAGAAAATTTCTGGAGTGTTAGCTGTAATCTCTTAGTTCCTCTAAACACTGCCGTCTGCCACTAGTACCCACCCCACGTAATTCTTCTGAGTTTGGGAGGGGACATACATTTCGCTACTAACCATTCCCTTGGACGCATATGACAACAAATAAAGGAGATGAGTAGTCACTGCAAAGGAGAGAAGCCCTGCCCACCACTTTTCCTCCCTCCCCGGTCAGCACGTGTCCCATGCCCATGGCCTCCGAGGCACCCTTCCCATGCGTCAGCCTTTGTCGTGGCGCCAGACTGCTCCATATGCTGGGGATGCAGCAAAAACAGGCCGAGGCTCTGCCCTCGAGGAGCTCACGTTCTCATGGGGAAGACAGACATCAAGCCAGTTATCATGGGGAAATAGAAAGTGAGAACAGAGATGGAGCGTATATCAGGGTGGAAGGGGAACTGGCCTGGCCTTGCAGTGTTGGGAAAGTCTCCCCAGTGGAGGTGACATCTGAGCCAAGACCTAGAGGGTGAGCGGGAATTACCTAAGGGAGGCTGTGCGGTCGGGGAGGAGAGACTGGAAGGCGTTCAGAAGAGATCTGTGGAGCATAGAAAATGCTTGAGAAGTGATGTCTGGGCTTCTTCAGCCTTCAGAAGGCTGAGCCATAACCATTTCTGGGCCTGTCCATGTGGTTAAATAGATGGGCCTGCTGTCTCCCCCGCCCACACTGGAGAAGGGGCCCTCGGGGGCGGCCCGGAGGACACAGCTTACTCCCAGTGAGGAAGCCTGACCCGGAGGGCACTAGGTCGGATTCCTGCAGTCACAGAGACAGGTCAGGTTCCCCTGGCCCTGGCCCTTGAAACAAAGGACAGTGCTTTGAGGCTTTGCTGGGAGGGAAAAGATGGAGCAGATGACTTGCCACTGTCACTTGTCCCAGATAAGTCTTCACAACCCCTTGAACAGCAAGCCAGTAAAACCACGTTTAGAAGTGCCAGGGCTGAGTGGTGATGTGCCTGGGATCACAGCCCCAGGTCCTGGGCAGGCAGTGAACTCCCCCAGTATGCATGAAGCAGAAGCTATGTACGTGGGGACACTCCCAGGAGCTAGAAAGCAAGGTCCACAAGATGGGTAAAGAAAGCCTCCTGAGGCTTCTAAGCCCTCCTTTCTCATGGCATTTCGGGAATGCTGACTTTGCGGCCTCCATGGACTCGAGGAGAGCTGGGTCCTGCCTTGCTCTGCTTTCACCCATTCGGTCAGGGACTCTGTGGGCCATTAGGCCACCCTGAGGCCTCCAAGAACATTGCTTATAGAGAAAAACAGCGTAATACTCTTTTTCACTCATAATTATCTGTTAGTTTTATTTTCTGTTGTAAAAGTAATGTTTGTTGTAAAGGAGTCAAGCAATGAATAGAGATGTACAAAATCTCTCTGTCACAATTAACAGTTGTTAATGGTGTGCTCCAGCTCCTTACAGACTTTTTCCTGCGCATGTACAAACATACCATTTTTAACCGAAATGCCATTTCCCAGCACATTTTCTACAACTTGATTTTTTTTTGCCGTAATGGTCTATCACAGACAGCATTCCATGCCAGTGTAGCCAAGTTACTTTATTCCTCTTAACAACTGCTTAGTTTCCATCAAAGGGACATAACACCCTTTATTTAACTAATTTGTGGGTATAGGGATGGTTAATAATTTTCTACTGTTACAAAGTGTGCTATAGGCAGACGTCGGTTTTGTATCTTTATGCCTCAGTGCCAATAGATTTTTTTTTCAGAGCCAGTTTAGGACCACTCATTTGGCCCCATAGAAGTTTCTCTGCAGATAAAATGTTTTATTTTAAGAGGAAAGTAAAGCAACCCCATGTCCCACAGCTTTTCCGAGCTGTCCGTCTTTTACTGCTGCTATCACATGGCCAATTCTAATCGTCCATATTCTTCAGGGCTTCTCCTTTGCTCAGTAATTACGTGTCTTTCAGACTGTAGCTCCTTTATAGCGTGGCACACTGCTTCTGGGAGGCTTTGAAGACCAGTTCTTTTTAACCCTTTATAGCAATCTGACTCACATCCTGGTCCGACTTATGATGGCATGCACTTACTCACATCCCGTGCACAGAAATAGTACACACGGTTCCAAGCAGTCGGTGCTCGGCAGCCCCTGCTGCCCTGACAGACAGAGCAGCTGTTGGGCAAGGACCAAGAGCTGCTAAGGATGACAGCACTCTGCACCGGGGCTGGCGTTCCCGAGCTTGAGTACCAGCCTGTGTTTGGGACAGTTGGTGGCTGGAATCCCTCAGCTGTCAGTTTCAACACGTTAACTCCGAAGAGTCTATACTACTTTATACCTGCTTCAGCTTAAACTGTTGCACATAGTGCTGCATTCCCACTCATCCTCATGCTGCTTCCATCCCTCCGGCCTCGTAAATCATGGCACCACCTTCTCCAGTCGCTTATGTCAACATTGGATGAGGGAGGAGATACAAATTGTGACCCCGGAGGACATTTGAAACATCTGCCATTGACTTTATTAGTGGGGCTCTGACTTCCTTATGGGTGTTCTGTCTCTAAAAGAGGAAAGATAGCAGCTGCTGTGCCTTCTGCTTGTCCTTTGGTGCAGTTGATGGATTAACCCTCAAGAAGCAGTCTCATCAGGCAGATCCCTCTTACACCTCTTTAGGTGGGTATCCATAAGAGCAGTATGAGAACAGCCACCATATTGAGCCCTTGCTCCGTGTCTACACTGTGCTCATCATTTGGGATTCGCTCTCTATGTTAAACCTGCTGATACTCAAGCACTGACAGAAGCTCAGCCCTGGTCAAGTAAACCCCACTTGCCCTCCCTCTCCTGGGAAAGCAGAGCCTTCCAATGGATCGTGAGAGCCTTTTCCCCGGTGACTAGGCAGATGGGTGACTGAGCTTTATGTCTGGGGAGTGGACAGGGGAAACACTGTTGACAGGGTGCACTTGTGGAGCATAGGTTCAGAGGATGAGTGCTCTGGACAGTTGCTGAAGGCTGCAGATGCCATGGGACCCAGTCCACCCTCTAGCTGCAGGAATGTGCAGCCCTGGCTGACAGTGAAAGCATGCTGGACAGGCAGTGCGGCTGCAGGAGGAGGTGGGGAGGGGTTGGTGACTGCTGAGCCCCCCAGGAAGACTCGCTGACTGCACCACACCCACAGTTCTCCCCATCAGTAGGGGACAGGGCATATGACAGGTGGGGTGGTTAGAGCATTGCACTGCCTTGCGGGGGGTCGAATGGGGAAGGAGGGACTTGAACTTGGAGAGCTGGCCTCACATCATCATTGGCATCCCCCAAGCACCCCTAGGGCACTGCCCAGGTGTCTAGAGCTCTGGGGACCAGATGGTCAGTGAGGGTGTAGCTCTAAGAAGGAATCCTGACGCCTTAGTGGTGAAAGCAAAAATGGGGACTCTGAACATGGGGTTCAGTAACATATCTCACCTCACCAGTGGCTCCATTCTTCCTGGCTCATTCCTCTCTCTCATGATATCGTAAGCCTGGTTCCTTTTTATCCGGTGCTGAGTAGAGGGGGTAAGTGTAGTTACAAGGAGGGCATAACGTTCACAGTTATGGCTCCTCTCTAGGCCAAAGTCCTAGGTGATGGGAAGAAACATTTGACATTTCTACATGATAGTTCATATTCTGTGGTGTCAGGTTTGAGGCAAAACATGACAAACTCACTCTTATGTTAGAAGTGACCTTACCAAACAAGTGTTGGCGAGGAGGTAGAGAAAAGTAATCCTCTTGCACTGTTGGTGGGAATGCAAACTGGTGCAGCCACTGTGAAAAATAGTATGGAGGTTCCTCAGAAAGTTAAAAATGAAACTACCCTATGATCCAGTAATTGCACTACTGGGTATCTACCCCAAAAAATACAAAAACACAAATTCAAAGGGATACATGCAACCCTGTGTTTATAGCAGCATTATGTACAATAGCCAAATTACAGAAGCAGCCCATGTGTCCATCAATTGGTGAATGGATAAAGAAGATATGGTATACACACACACACACACACACACACACACACACACACAATGGAATATTACTCAGCCATAAGAAAGAATGAAATCTTGCCATTTGCAACAATATAGATGGAGCTAGAGTGTATTATGCTAAGGGAAATAAGTCAGAGAAAGACAGAAACCATATGATCTCACTCATATGTGGAACTTAAGAAACAAAACAAACAAGGGAAAAAAAGAAAGAGACAAACCAAGAAACAGACTCTTAATTAAAGAGAACAAACTGATAGTTCCCAGAAGGGAGAGAGTGGGGTATGGGGGAAACAGGTAATGAGGGTAAACAAAAAAGAAAGAAGTGACCTTTACCAATTAGGATGTGCCTTAGCACATCCTTGTCTTCAGCAGAATCTTAACATTATCCCTAGAAGTCAGATCACTGGACCCCTTGTGTCCCTACTCTGTGCTTCAGAGTAAAACAGAAGGCTTAGGCAACATTTAGAGAGAGTGTTACCTAAATCCATTTGGGAGCTCTATAAATAAAACCCACGAAGGTGATTGATTTTGGAGCAATTTTTAGTGTACTCCATATGGAAACCCATTACCATTCAGATGTTCCTTAGTTTAATTATAGTTAGCAGAAAATCTTTAGGAACAAAGGATTGAGCTTAGTTACTAAACTGTAGCTTTCTTGGCTGACATAAAAAATATCCATCAAGCCCGGATAAAAATTTCTGATATATTTATAATAATAATTTTATTCTAGTAATAGCTAACTAAAAGTCTGAGGAACACTTCCTGATTCTGTTCTTGTAGCCAATAAAAGAATGTTTGGATT